AAAAAGAAATAGGACTAAATTAAAGACGCGATTTTTTTTATATATGTTAAATAGTAAAGTGGAACTAACATGGAATTGAGCGTTTCAATTATATTGATAAAATTGTCGACATTATTTTATTTTAATATATGATTGGTCACTAGCTAAGAATATTTTTTCAAACTACCATATACTCCTTCCGTTTTCGAATAGTTGTCGTTTTAACTATATGCACACAAATTAATAAACTATTAATATTGTTAGTTTTTCAATATAAAAATATCATTAATTATCTACCTAAACATAATTTAACCAATAATAAATCAAGTTGCATAATAAAAATAAATATAAAAAAAAAGTAATAAATTTTACATAGAAAACTGAAAACGACAACTAATTAAAAACAAAAAATTTCTCTAAAACGACAACTATTCGAAAACGGAGGGAGTATTAAATTTCTATTAATTTTCTTGCCGAAATGATCTAGTATTTTCGAAAGACTTGGAGACTTAAAATCTAAATTAAGCAAACATTATGTCATTTTTGTTTATTGTTTCCATGGGTAAATATCGATGCCAATCGATACATTAGACCACCATTAACAAGGATATCTTAAAGAGTTCTTAAGTAAGAAATGTGGCTTAGCTAAGACCCAAAACTAAGAAAAGTGACTTAGCTAAGACCCAAAACCAGTGTTCTAAAAAGCGGTCTAGGCGGTCGCCTACCATTCTGATTTTTCTTGGAGAAAATTCTCCAAAGGTAAGACTCATCTCTTACCATTCTGATTCTCCAAATATGATTTTTTTTTAATCATTTTTCTTGGGTCAAAGATGTTTATCTCCCAAAAAAAATTTTTTGATTAAAAATAAATCTATTTTCCTGGGGGCTCTAATGTTAAAATTTTCCAGTCTCTCCTTTTTTTCTCCCTTTGAATGAATTACCCATTCACACCTAAATTCTACTTGAACTTAGGTATATCAAAACTACCAAATATACATAGGTTTTCTTGGTCCATTTTCAAACTAGTTTTATTGACCGTTTCTCGGTCTAAGCAATTTTTCCAACATTTTGTATTATCATGGTGTTATTTGCATCAATAAACACGTTAATTAACAGTAATTAACTTATAAAACCTAACAAAAGTTTACATCTTCCATTTTTGATATATGATAAAAACAAAATTAGATTTGCTTATATGTATATATACTTATAATTAGGAATTTTTATAATCTCGAACTGTTGCACGACTACAGTATTCACTTAAAATTATTTCCATGAAAATCATAACTTATGTACATGCATGGATGGGACCACAATATAAATCACCCTAAAAAAATGAAACTCTCGGCCAGTGGGACGACCCGGACAAGAAAAAAGAAGCAACAAAGAAATTGTCTTCTACCGGACAAGGAAACTCATATAATTTAATCCCTTTTGGAAACTCATATAATTTAATCCCTTTTTAATATATTTCATATGACAAGAAACTACAAAAATATTTTTAGCTCTCACCTGAGACAACTGAGTAAGTAAAATCCTCAAATAATAAACCATAATAAAGGCTATGGTGTTCTGTAATTGTTGTTCTAGTTGTGATAAGTGTTACATAGTCTATTCTCAACAATTGCAAGCCAAAATGTGCACTGGATAAATGCTAAAACAATTTCAAATGGAATCATGATCTTTTTTATTCATGAAAACGACAAACTATATATAGATAATACAAAATTATTTTGACTAAAAATACATATATATAATTGCTCTGATACCATTTCAGATTTAACAAACTTTACTTCTCAATTATGATTTTACTCCATTCAACGATAAATGTGTACAAGAGAAAGCTTAAATACAACTATACAAGTGAAGATAATAAAGATTAACTAATAACCAACTAAACCAAACAAGATCCTATAAACCGACATTAAACCGGGTCTATGTACTCTAATAAATTAGGTCAAAATAACCTTAAGAAAAAAGGACATTTAACAATACATGACTGTATATGGTATATTTAAATATTAACATATTCTTAATCTAATCCCGATAAAATTTATCAAAAAAATAACGAATCCGTTACTTCTCATAATTGAATTTAATTTCCCCACCAAATGACCTTAAATCATCTGTAATGCAGACCACCAATTCTTGACACTGTTAAACAGATCCATCGCCCATCGGCATTGGTTTTCCGGATCATCTCAAGAAAATGTTTGAACCACTTGGCTGAGTTTTTAGCATGTCTTTTTAGACCATCTGAATAATCAACGTAGTATAGACCAAATCTCACTGCATATCCATGTTCCCATTCAAAATTATCTTACAACGACCATGTGAAGTAGCCTTTCACGTCACACCCATCATCCCTGCATATTTATACACAAAACAAATTAGTTAATTATTCTCGAATTTTATTAGTTAATCAAATACTAATTTGTTTTTATTCATTTATAGTGAAGTTCTCTTTCATGATCGCTTTCTGGAGTTGTCGAAGATGTTTTTGGTGGTACTCTATTCTCTTTGTGTCTTCTATTATCTCTTCACGTGTCACTGTTCCATCTTCGTAGTCATCGAAACCTATACATTTTTACGTGGTTACTTTTATTAAACTAAATGTTGAAGATTATGTTTATTGATGATTAGTTATACATGATTGAAATGTTTAAGATTATGTTTCTATCGTTCTTACCAGTTTCAGTTATGTAAATAGTTGGATTGTTATATTTAGTTTTAATATAATTAAGAAGCTTTCGTAAGCCTTCCGTATATGACCAGAGAATTTTGGTTCCATCCTGAAATCGAATGAAAAAATGGTTATATATGGATAAGCATTTTTAACATACTAAAATTCAAAACAAAGTAGGAGGAATAATTTGTGAGGAATTAAAGTTCATACCGATTCTGATGAGATGTGGTCGCCGCTACGATTTGTCACTAATAAAAAAGTGATAAATGTAATGTCATTAGTTGTAGGTTCATTACTATTTTCTTAATAAGGAAACTAGACAGCCAATAAAAGTTACATAACTCGGTTATGGGTACTTACATCCAGTGCCGGCCTGTCAAATTTTGGACCCAATACAAATTTTTTTTTTTAATGGATTTTGTAGAAGAAATTTAAAATTTGAGATCAAATCTTAAAATTTCAGAAAAATTGGGGCACATTTTGCAATAACAAATAGATAAAATTTTAAAATTGAGACTAAATCTGAAAATTTTAGAAAAATGAGGCCTATACTTTACAATAACAAATATTTTTGAGGCCTCATTTTGATACTAAAAAATTTAAAAATTATTAAGGCCTAATATCTTTGTTTCTTAAAAATTGGTGGCGGGCCGGGCCTGCTTACATCTGTATTGGAGATGTTGGTCGGTTGTGAAGCGAGGCCGGAAAAGATCGACGTGAAGATCGTGAGCGACAATCCGTGCCATGTAGTAATTTATTCCGATAAAATCAAATGAATTTTTTACAATCATAGATTGCTCTTTGGTGAAAGAAGGCAATCTATTTCCAGGTATTGTCTTAATCGTCTCAGGGTAGTCTCTAAAGACTAAAGGGCTGAGATGAGATGCCTAGATATAGTTGTAAGATAAAGAAGATTAGATAATCATTTTTTTTTTCTGACTTTAGATACGGATTTAATAACACGAAATGGATCACATATAACACAACTTACCAACCAATATTGAAAACAAGAGCTCGTTCAACTGCTTCTTTATCAGATTCGGAATCAATGTCATAAGGCTCAAACCAATAAGGCGAATCAATGTCACTATGCCTATCTTAGCATCTTGTGAAATCTGTATCAAAAATACCATAAATCAAAATGTTATCTTTTGCGTTCAAATCCTTTTTGATAGATTAATATATAATACGAACCAATCCTTTTTTTTTTGTGTTGAAATTAAGCTCTTGAAAATTAAAAGCAACTCATTTAGGAAAACATAGTTATATCTGTAAGTGCGGAGAGGTCAAATAATTGCGGAAGTAAACGAGACAAGAAATTTGTTAACGAGGTTCGGTTTTTCCTACTCCCCGGGACCACGTCCAGATTTCGATTCCACTAGAACAAGAAAGCAAATACAACCTATTCGCAAACGCGAAAATCAAGCACAACCCTCTTGATTCACCGCTCCGTTCTATTAACATAAAATCTTAAGGATAAATCTCTACCCTTAACTAAACTCTCATGCGCCTAGATTTAATCAGGATAACCTAACCCTGAGCTAAACTCCCCCTGAATCTAGACTTCAATTCTCCAAGTCTCTGGAACAACCACCACACACGAACCGTCACGCCAACGAACCCAACGATCACCAAGATTCTCCAACATGAACCGTCAACACCAACACACAAATAAGCTTGATCACACAAGCACTTAACCCGCGAAACTACGTCGCACACGATCACACACACAATCTCTCACATCGAATCTCTTTGGGATTTTTACTCTTGTCAATCCACTTTCTCATAAGGTCACGTTCTCCTTATATAATAAACAGAAACTTGCACCTCAAGTTCTTCCAATCATACATAAGAGAAAGTTTCTTAATCTCATAAGGAAAAGATTTTCCTTTTTGCCAATTTCCTTTTCACTTCAAGCAAACTTCCTCTTTGCTTACATGATTCCTTTTGTCTTCAAACAAAGATATTTTCCTTTTCCTTGACTTAACAAACGCTCCAACATCCAAGTACTCGAACTCCTCATCAGCAACTATGCTTCTCATCTTCTTAAATCACTTCTTGTACTACTTCATGTACTACTTCGACGGCTAGTACAGAATACCAAAATAATTGCATCTTCAAAGACTATATATCTACTGATAAAAATATTAACGTTAAGCGAAAGTTGTTAAAAAAAACATTCAGTTCGATACTTAACAAAAAAATGACCGTTTTTACCTCCTTTTCAGGTGAGCAAGAGGCGTCAATAAATAATAGTAGTCTATAAGTTTCTAAACGATTATACAATACGCATCACCACCATCTAAGTTTTTACCTTATATTAATAAAATAAAATAAAAGAAAAAAAAAAAAAGTTTTTACTTTATTACTATGGAGATGAATTTTCTTGATTTAGCGGAAGAATGCATCTCCGCAGTGATTTCTTTCACCAGTCCTACGACGCCTGCCGTATCTCTGCTGTCTCCAAATTGCTCCGCGTCGCCGTGGATTCTAATACCGTTTGGGAGAGATTTCTTTCCTCAGATTCTCGTATGTATATCGATAAATCTTTATCTAGATTTTCCAATAACCAGTTGTTCCTCTGTTTCTGCGAATCTCCTCTTCTCATCGACAATGGAAGAACGGTAATTTAACAATATGTATTATGCGGGTTTGAATTTGAATGGTGACGCAGCTCAGAAAGTATTAAGCTACCATGTTTTTTAGGTATAGATTCTAGAAATTTATTGTTTGAGATGAATGTAATGTGGACGATGTACTCAATTTTTTTGAACAAATTCCTAAAATTATGAATGTAGAGCTTTTGGATGGACAAGAGAAGCGCGAAGAAATGTTGGATGTTATCTGCAAGGAAACTAGATATCATTTGGGTTGATAGTCTTGAATTCTGGATATGGATTTCGATTCCGGACTCGAGATCAATTAATTTCATCTCAATTGTTTTACTTCTTTTAATCAAAAGCTCTTAGTGTTGATTTTAATTAGTTTGTAACAGGTTCGAGGAAGTTGCAGGGCTTCTAATGGTATGTTGGTTCGAAATCCGAGGAAAAATAAGCACATCCCTTCTCTCCAAAGCAACCATGTATGGAGCTTACCTTGTATTTAAAGAACAAGAAATGGGATCCTTTGGATTTTAGTCTCTTCTTTTGGAGGTGAGCTTTTTTTCTACAAGAACTGAGGTTTATAATGATAGAAGAGTGTTTCTTAAGCAAGGAATGCAAAGGTGTAGAGAAGATGGGTGGTTGGAGATTGGAGTTGGTGAATATTATGTTGGTTCCGATGATGAGGAGCTTGAAATGAGCGTCTTGGAGACAATAGAAGGTGGTTGGAAAGGCGGAATCATCGTGCAAGGGATCGAGATTAGGCCAAAAGAAGTGTTGGGATTAGGTAACACCTTTTCCAAGTGATTTCTAGTTTTTTTTTTTTGTGTAATATAGAAAATAGGAATTAAGTCTATGCAATGTATGGACATCTGCATTCTCTTTCTCATATCATTGTACCAACCATGCATAGATGATGATTCCGCCTTCTTCTGTTAGCACTTAAACCAGGTTGGAAGTTGCGTTCCGCAATAAACTTCCCGAAGTTTAATAAAAAATCCCCATTTGTTCTCTTAATTTTGTTGTACCACATCCTAAGCTAATATCTTCTTACTGGTTTCAAAACTCTTGAAATCTCATTTGTCCTGTCCTAAAGCATTTTAGCTTTTGTTCTAAATGATCTTTTCTTGAAATGTGTGTAGATCCAAAGTCGCTATTTGGCAAGGTTGGTGCAGCTTGATCAATGACTCCAACTTCACAACCATTTTTAGTTACGTCTATAGCTCAGATTGAGATCCACTGGTAAACTTTGAGAATCTCTCTTGTTTAAACACTAAATTGTTATGCTCTTATTGTAGATGCGTTTTGTTTCTTATCTGGACTAGAGTATGAATGTTTAGAAAGGTGGATATGCCCTTTGGTTTGAGATTCTTGGTTATTGTTCTGCGAAACACCAATTTTATTCTTAGTATGCTGACTTATTTGGAATCTGTGGTTATTGTTCTACGAAACACCAATTTTATTCCCATAGCTTATTAAAGGAAAGACAATAATCTATACTAGTATTTTTGCAATCACTTTTGAGTCGGGTGGATAAAATTGTTTTCGGATACTTTGGATACCTGATCCGTTTACAAATTTTGATCATAAAAAGTTTGTTGGGTCGGGTTATATTTAACCCAACTCATACACTGGATATTCCATATTTAATAATTTAGATATTTAGAAGATTTGATTAAAATTTAGAATTATGATTCTCCTATTTTGTTTTGTTTTTAACTGTTTTGAATCATCATATAATATATAAAGTAAATAAAATAAAATAAATTCTGCATATATTGTTATTCGAAAATTTAAAAACGGACATATATTATCTAATTGACGAAAATGTGTGTTCAACGTTCTACATCTATTAAATATTTAGACAATGATTCAGAATCATATCATAAATAAGATCAACATAATAAATGAGTTTTTGGGCCAGATGGGTTTGGCGGGACGGGTTTTTGAATCAACAATAATAAAAAGATTAAAATATCATTAATCCGCCGCTTCAATACAGATTAAATTCTTAATTTTTTTAATACCACTAATATTAGACATATTAAATAAATCTCATTTAGAAAGGATTGTATAAAACCAAAAATTTTCCCGTGGTATAATGTTACTTAATAACAATTATAAACTATAAAATATAAATATCTTAGGAAATAATACAATTTGCAAACTTATATATATATAATAAATAATCGTTAAATTTTAAAAATTACTACTTTTAGAAAACAAAAAGGACGGGTTAAAAAGTTACATGACGGATTATATTTCGGAACGAAGTTATATGGTGGACGAGTTTGAATCAATATTTATAAAATTTTAAAATATCATTTATATGCCGCTTTAATACAGATTAAATCTTCAGTTTACTAAACTATAAATGACTTAGAGAATGATTTGATTTGTAAACTTTTATATATAATAAATAATCATTAAATTTTACAATAAAAATAAATCACGGAACGGGTTATATTTCGGAATGGGTTTATATAATGGACTAATTTGAATCAATATTTATAAATATCATTAACATGCCGCTTTAATACGGGTTAAATCCTCAGTTTATTAACAATTTTCTCGTGGACTCGTGGTATACCGTTACTTAATAACAATTGTAAACTATAATATAAATAAATATTTTATAAGGAAATACAATTTACAAAATATTTTATACTAATTTTAAAAACTAAATCATCCAGCGGTGTACCGCGGATTAAAATCTAATGTTCATTGTAATTCTAGCTAGAGAACGAACCCTAAAGGAACTCATTGATTGTTTGTTGAACCAAAGGGTGATATGCAACCAAACGCTCCCCGATGTGAATAGCATACGGCAAAGTCATGATAGACTCATTAGCGAAGAGACCCATGGATGTATTCAGAGTGTTTGTTATCCCATCCACAAATTGTGACGCATGAGCAATTTGAGCCATATCATCAATAGTTGGTACCTTACTACCTTTCTAATACAAAAACGTACCAAAACATGAAATTATTAACTTCGTGCGATCATTGAACATATTGTTTTTTTTTTGGTTTGTTAAAATCATTAATCTTCATTTTTTTATTCTGGTATAGGATTAGATATTTTATTTTTAATTACAAATCAATTAAGATTTTTTTTTTAAGAAAAGATTATTAAGTAAAATGAATGAGGCCGTAAAAGAGCCACATTTATATCTTTATACTGTAATTACAAATGCAATATGCATATAATATATTTACATTATATCTATATAAATTTGTGAAAAAATATGAACTTTTTCAAAAGATTTGGGAATTTTAATTTTATAGTAGTAATATAGTGATTACTTTTTAAACCCGCTCAAAATTCGAGGAAAAATAAGCACATCCCTTCTCTCCAAAGCCACCATGTATGGAGCTTACATTGTTTTCAAAGAACAAGAAATGGGATCCTTTGGATTTGAGTCTCTGCCTTTGGAGATGAGCTTTTGTTCTACAAGAACTGAGGTTTATAATGATAGAAGAGTATTTCTTTTGCAAGGAACGCAAGGGTGTAGAGAAGATGGGTGGTTGGAGATTGAACTTGGTGAATATTATGTTGGTTCCGATGATGAGGAGATTGAAATGAGCATCTTGGAGACGAGAGAAGGCGGTTGGAAAGGCGGAATCATTGTGCAAGGGATCTAGATTAGGCCAAAAGAAGTGTTATGATTACGTAACTCCTTTTCCAAGTGATTTCTAGTTTTTTGTGTAATGTAGAAAATAGGAATTAAGTCTATGCAATGTATGGACATCTGCATTCGCTTTCTCATATCATTGTAACAATCCTGCATAGATGATGCATGATATTGGATTGTGTATATTATTACCTAGAGTGTTGATCTTGAACTTTTATTTGATGACCATTTGTATTTTCCAAAGTGTTTTCTTATTGGTTCAATAATTTTAGTTAACATATACTTTTAATATAAAAAGATAAGAAAAAATGATAGTTTAAATAGTTTTTCATAGGTGTGCGTAAATCTTAAAACATTAATTAAAGTGAAATTGAATTGTTTATATGAAAAGATGCAAATGAAAAACAGATCTCTATCAATGCATCCGCATGTGTCTGAATAGAAATTGATGAATTATGTTCACTAATGCATCCAGGAAAATTACGTGAAGTAAAAGAAAGAGTAATGATCCCATAAATCTGTGTGTGTACAATCAATAAACAAGTCACATCATCTGCATAAACCTCATATTTGTGTACGAGGTGTCACACCAGTCAACACAATTATTTTTTGTAACAAAAAAGCATAATTATTAAATTGTGAATAGGTGAACGTGACCGTCAATCTGTTTATAATGGAAAGAGATTTTCAACAACTGATAGACATTTTAATGTTATGGAGTATCTAATTTTACACAAATACAACAATGTCAATAAATATATGTTCTTCGTGAAATTCAATAAGGTTTCAAATAACCAGACAGAGTCAGCCCAACAGCAAACTTCTCACCCACGTGACGATCGTTCACGGGTTAATTATACTTGATTTTTTTTTTCCTGGTCAATCAAAGAAATTATACTTGTTGAACTCTTATTGAATGTGACTGATATATAATTCTATATCGCTACGATACAAAGTAATTAACTAGAAAAACGATATTAAAAACGATTACAAAAACAAACTATTCTTCTTCCTCCTACGAAAATAAATAAAGTATTTTAAGCCTTTTTGCGATGTTACCATCTATCAGCTTCTTTATACTCATTCCGTTTCACAAAAAGTGTCGTTTTAAGATTTTAATCTTGTTTCACACAGAGAATCGTTTTATGTTTTCAATGCAGTTTTTAAGACTAATTCTCTTTTTATCCCTATTATTTCAGCTGATTAATTAGAAAGAATGATATTTATCTAATGTATTAATAAGGAGTAAAAATAAAATTTGTTTACTTTTTTAATTTGTGTGAAAATGGGTAGAATGATACTCTTTGTGAAACAAATAGAATATTGTTTTTAATCATTTAATTACTGTTAATTATTTTGTCTATCTATTAAAAATTATGGATTGTTTTATCAGTCAAAATCCATTATATGTAATGAAATAAGTTATAAGAAAACAATCACGGATGAATTATAATCGGTGTAATAATATTTTATGTATATTTTAATTTATACAAACAAAATGAAACAAAAGCAAAATAATTTTTTCTTTCGATTCGTCGCACCAAAAGAAAACGTATTTATTCTTCGGGAAAAATGTCGTTAAAATCCCCAATTTATTCAAAACGTTGATTTAAATCCTCAACTCACGACTAAACAAAATAAATATCAAACTTATGTTGACTTTCCAAATAAATATTAAACTTATGTTGACTTTCCAAATAAACATCAAACTTTCATTGACTTGGCCATATTAGGCATGACGTTAAGTGAGTTAACAGACAATGTTAAAGGGATTAATTCTCTGTTAACAGACCCGCTAATTAAAAATGACAGTATTGTTGAACTATAATCAAATCTCATCTAAGTCATATAACCTAAATTCGTATTTCATATAAATTAGTTATTTACGTAAGAGTCACGAATGTACGTACGTATAATTGTGTCTGTTCGTAAAGTTATGTCTTTTCGATTAACACATGTACGTACACGTTGTTTCGTATTGTATAAATAGATCGAGTCAAACTCAATAACATCATTGTGTGTAATACATTTTATCTTATCAATAAAGATCAAGTTTCTTTATACTCTATTTTTCATTTTGGTTTTGTTCTTCATACTCTGTTAAAACAGAGTTCGTTAGTTGATCAAAACACTAACAAGTATTCCTTCTAAACATAAAACGACGTTGTTTTGTCGTAACTGTTCAATAAAATCCCGAGTTTCAAATCATACTCTATTTAGGGTTAGGGATTTTGCTCGATTTGGGGATCTAAGATTGTCTTTAGGGATTTAGTTCAATCGTTACGACAAAACGACGTCGTTTTGTTGTTATATGAAACAATGTCGTTATCAATTAACATATATGTTAACAGAAAATTACCTCCGTTAACGAGATCTATTAACCCACTTAACGTCATACCTAATATGGCCAGGTCAACGGAAGTTTGATATTTATTTGGAAAGTCAACATAAGTTTGATATTTATTTGGAAAGTCAACATAAGTTTGATATTTATTTCGTTTTGTCATGAGTTGAGGATTTATTAACCCACTTAACGTCGTACCTAATATGGTCAGGTCAACGGAAATTTGATATTTATTTGGAAAGTCAATGAAATTTTGGTGTTTATTTGAAAAGTCAAAATAAATTTAATATTTATTTGGAAAGTCAACATAAGTTTGATATTTATTTCGTTTCGTTATGAGTTAAAGATTTAAATCAACGTTTTGAATAAGTTGGGGATTTTAATGACATTTTTCCATTTATTCTTCGGTTCGTCACAGTAATCTTCCCTTGTTTCTACGTCTGTTGTATCATTTGTTTTTAAATAAACTGTCATGTGATTCGGTCCCCTTTACATCATGTCGGTTCCCTTTTTCACAAGATACAAAACCCCAAAATTATTTTCAGTAATCAATCATGTAATAAAAAAAAGCTCTTTTATCAGAAAACTAATCGCAATAATATCCCTTTTCATGAAAAACAAAATGGGGCATCTTTAGTTTAGGGTCCCTCCAAGACACTATTTATTTTTTATTCAGTTAATCTCTCAAAACCGAAATTATCATTTTGAGTTTGCGTGACGACGACTTCCATTGAACATCGTATGGATACACTTTTTTATTTATTTTAAATTACCTTTTTCATATGATGCCGTATAATATCAATTATCTAACAAAAGAAAAATAAACAAAATGACTGAAAATGTACAAAACTACAAAAAGAAATGAAATATCCATATTTTTGTTTTATTTTTAACGTCCGGAAATGATTTATTAATTATGTTTTATACGCCCATTAAATATATCTTCATATTTATCCACAATGTTTTATTTATATCATGAATGATATATGAATTTTTGAACTCTCTTATATTATAGTATTAATTTTGAACGAAATAAATTTTTATGCTTTCGTGTTCCAATGATTACTGTAGAAAAAAAACATCAATAAAATCAACTCGAAAATAAATAGAAAATTCCAATTTAATAACATTATTACAGTCGAGACGAAGTAAATTCGAAAACCACTTCGTCTATTCAAAAAATACTCAGAAATTTAAAAGAAAAGCGGTGTAATTTGGAGCGCGAGATGATGAGTTATCGTTACGAGGAAGAGAAGAGTCAGCTCGGACACTTCGACGGCGACTTGTTGGTGGTGGAGGGAGGAGTGTGGCGGTGATGCGTGTAAGCGCTGCCGTGTATTCTTCAAGCAACTCAGCGGCGATGGCTACTGTTATCATGACGATTTGAAGCTTGCTCTAATGATGCTTTGCTTTGACGTTTGTTAGAAAATCTCTAAACCTTTTTATGATCTTAATTTGCTTGCAAGACAGGACAATGTGGTTACCTTTTGTGAGACGGCATCGTATTTATAGAGCCCGGGCTCTTGAAGCTAGTGGCCATAAATTTTGGTAGGTTCTGGTCATAAATTATTGTAGCCGTCAGATCTACCGACTTTATTGATTTTAATTTTATTTCTAGTACTTTTTATGCAGTTTTTTTTTTATCTCGGATTCTTTTCGCTAGAAAAAGATCATACGAATTCTTTTTTTCTTTCTTCATTTAGCATTGCCCATATTGTAGTTTTGTAGTTTTGTACGTATAGTTTCGGACTAATCACAGAAATGAACAAGTTTTTTTATAAGAAGTTTTCTTGAAATGACAAACCCACCACATATAAAACATTTGAACCTAAGCCTAATTAAGTGTAACTAAGTAATCCATGCATAAAATTTATACATATTAGTAACAAATTTGGACTTAAGCGAGATAACAATTTTTTTTGTTGGATAATTAAAATGAAAAGCATACGGTAGAACATAGATGATCGTGTTCAATCCTGATAAAAACATAAAGTAGTAGCAGTAAAAAGTAACAGAAAATTTAATTAAATGTTTAATAACAGACAATTATATCTATTTATTTTGATTTTTAATTGTAAACTAAATATAAGAAATGGATGAATAAGATATATTTCAAAAATGATAAGCCTATCAGTCTCAGATAACAAATGCTAGTTATAATATATTAAAACTATATATAATGTTGTTCATTAAATAGGTGACAAAGAGGGTGGGATGGGCAAGATTTTGAATGGTGATTTTATTAGAGCTGAATGGGCAAGAAGCAGGGGAGACTAACTGCAGAAGAGTCTGACTGCGACGCGTTGATTTGGGCAATGCAATCAATAATGTGGATACAGAGCTACATGATGATGACTAAGAACATTTGAAGTTGCGCATTTACATCACGGCAGTCAGAACTTTGGAGCAAAGATTAAGGAGCTTGTGGCATTTATATTTCAACCAAGGGAAGGTAATTGTTGTGCTGATTACAAGACAAAATATCTATCTACTAGTTAGTTATGTTTAATAGAAACTGAAGTGGTAAAAATGATGAAATAGTTGCGTATAGTAAGAAAATATCTTGCGGCATTAATCGTTACCGGTAAACAAATAATTGATGAAATAGTTGCGTATAGTAACAAATTATGACGGGCTCACCCACTTATGAAGGCGGGCTGCGATATTGGTTTCCAAACTCATATTCGCTAGTGTTCTCTACTTTATAATCCGTCTCGAAAACTCAGATTTTTCAGCTTGATGTTGCATTTATTGTAAAACCGTCTTTTTTAGTGAATAAATTTTACATTCGTACAAAAAAAATAATAATTGAAAATAGTCTATTTGAATAAATATTTGCCAATAATTAGTCCAACGACTTGTATGATTGTATTGTAGACCCTAGAAAATAAAGACATCCTGCGTGATGTTCAAGTATTATATAACTTAGAGCATCTCCAATGGGGAGTTCTCTCTATAAGACTCTCTTCATTTTTTTATTATAATTTTTTTGAAAATGTGAGATGAGAACTTTTGTTTTTTTTAAAAAAATTTTTGATAGTCCAATGGTAGGTTCTCTAGTGAGGTTCTCTTAGAAAAAAAAATATTAAATATATTATTTCATAAAACTTAATAATTATTGCAATTCATAAAAATATTAAACATAAATTATTTCAACATTTTTAAAAAATGTACAAAAACAAAACCGGAATAACGATTAGTTATACTGTTGGTTGTTGCGAAATTTTTGTCGTATACATGTATGCTCAACCAAATCAGTTTTCAATTGTTGACGCATATCACGATCACGAACTTGATTTCGAATGCCCGTCATATTTCCGAGATTTATAGGCATCTATGTATAATACGCTAAATCAACTTGAGAAGCTCGGTTTGCTTCAACTTATGTGAATTCCAAAACATTTACTGCTCAAGCTTTGCCATTGGCTGCTGGTGGGTTAAGCTCATCCCAAGCTTGTCTTCACTCCCAAGCTCAAGTGGTCTTCAATCCCAAACAACTAAGTACGGAGCATATGCTTCATATTTAGCTATGCTATTCATATCCGTAAATTTCAAATGGTCCACTCAATCATGAGTCTTAAAAGGGAATCAGAATAAGAAGAAATTACCTTGATGCACCAACCAGCCCACATGTCATCGTAGCTACCAATAGGCTGACCATCACCCATGAGACCAAAGTACATTGTTGGGCCAATCAAATCTACCCCTAAAATAATAAGCCGTATAAATTCCATCATCTGGTTCAGTGTCTCTTAGACTTTGACTCGATTTTGGATAGCATGTATCCAGAGATCTTGTTCACAAGAGTATGGAACTAAGAACAGGATATGACTTTTCATTGAGACAAACTGCGCATAACAAGGTGACATATCAGTATCGAATGAATCTGTTAACTTATATAGAACCAATATACTGATCAGTAAGAGAATGCATAAAATGTAGAAGCACCAAACGTCACTTTTTCCATCGATGGACTGCTGAATTCAATAAAAAGCACAAACTCTCACCCAAACGTTTCCTCTATCTTCTCATTCAATCTCTCTATTATTACTCAACACAACAAAGATCATCACTTTGACTCTCACTTATCATTGACACATATAAGCAAAAACAGAGTAAAACAAAAGTGGAATCTTTGAGTTTAAAAGATTGACCTCTAATGGAGACGAAAGGGATGATGAGATGATGAGAATTGGTGGCAATGAGGTGAAAGAGATTAGTGGAACTAACATAAGAGCCAACGATGTTTATGAAAGATACAATTTAGTATTCCCATTGACAATCGAAAATCTAATAATCTCAATGTCACAGTCCCATAATCAATAGATCTGTATGTTTCTCATCATACACTACCAAACATAATTTGTTCAAACGTTTGAATCAATGAATCAATAACAAGAACATCAAATCCACAACTCTAAACACTTCAAAGTGACAAAATTAAAAGGCGACAAAGTTGAATTAAGCTCGATTGATGAAGAAATATGGAAATGGAGAGTGAGTGAGTCTTAACTTGTAAGCAGTTGCAATTCTCAGCTTCCTTTCAAACAACGCCGAGCACAAAAATTGATCAGCTCCCTTAGACGGAGTCGGAATAATCGTGTGAGGAGAAGATCCATGGCTATCGGGGATTTGAAGAGACGCTTGGTGAATCAGGATAAGAGCCATCGCGAAGAGCAATCAACGGATCAATGAAATCTCCAGTGCATCGCAACAGGCGGAGCCGAGAAAGAAAGAGTCGAGAAAGAATTTCGGAAGAGAGAGACAAAACAAGGGCTTTTTTTTTTTCTTTTTTATTGTTAAAATCGTTACCCAAATTGACACGTATGCGTCTCTCTCTGATTCTCAAATCTCTCTAGAGAGAGATGATTCTTTCATTATTTAGCATTATTGATTTATTTTAATTGTACTTAAATCCAGAGAAACCCACTAATTTAATGAGAGAACCTCCCATTGGAGGTGCTCTTAATGCTCATAATGTTATTTGTTTTGAAGAAAAATAACAAATGTTCTTTGTTTTATTGTTTTTTACTTCTTTTGGTAAAAGTAAAACGTGTACCATTCATATTCAAACTCTTCACTAAAATAAGTAAATAACAATAATAAAATGAAAAAGAGTCAAGTTTTTGTCAAATTCTTTAGCAAAAAAAATAAAATAATAAGTTGTTGTCAAATTAGCAAACAGAGACTCGTTGTTTAGTTCTAATTGTTGGCGAAGAAGCCGATTAACATCTACATATTATCTACCCAAACGCGTACGTACGGTTGGTCCAAACAGTTAAAAAAATTGTTGTTACAGTGCTATTAAATTTAAGATAGAATCCTGTAAACTATATCTGAAGACGTATGATTTATGTTTGTTGATCCGTCATAAATATTATCAAAAAGCTAGTTCCAAACTTAGAAAGATTTTTGATCAAAGGACAAAATTTCCAGTTGTTAAAGAAAAAACTCCAGACTATCCCTTAATTTATCAATTCCCAAATCTATCCAAAAGGCTTGGTATTTGCTTACATTTTGTGTCGGCTTATTCGCTTACATTTTTTCGTTGAGAATTGTTATCATCGAATTATTGGAATTTTTTGGTGTACATGTGAGTGATTTCTTTTAGTTTTTTTTTCTTTTTTTCTTTTCTTTTCTGACAACGATTTCTTTTAGTTTGAATGATGGGTTTCTAAGTAGTTGGGAGACCATGAACGTAGTATTTGTGCTCAAATTGATATATATATATATATATATATATATATTACATTTGATAATCTTACTTATATTTTGTTTTCAATGTTTGTGTTGGTGGATAGATAAGGGTTTATGAAAAATCCTCTTTCGCAATCCGTCAGGTTCAAATTATAGCATTATAACCCTTTAACCAAAAAAAAAAAATTATAGCCTTACAAAAGTTTGGCTAAAAAAATGTGATAACAAAACCGATAATAAATAGTATAATTTAAACTAATAGTTCGACATCATATAAAAATAAGGTGTTACCAAAATCAATATAATATTGTTTATAAGTTGTGTGAAATCGATTTTAGAAAACACATGTGATAAAAGAACCACTTGAGTTACGATATTACTATCCGTAGTTTTTACCAATAAAAATATTAAAATTTGGTTATTTAATACTCTCTCTGTTTTCGAGTAGTTGTCGTTTTAGAGAAATTTTTTTATTTTTAATTAATTGTCGTTTTCAGTTTTCGATGCAAAATTTATTACTTTTTTATTTTTTATATTTATTTTTACTATGCAACTTGATTTATTATTGGTTAAATTATGTTTAGGTAGATAATTAATGATATTTTTATATTGAAAAATAACAACATTAATAGTTTCTTAATTTGTGTGCATATAGTTAAAACAACAACTATTAAAAAACGGAGGGAGTACATATTCTTTAAATTGTAGTACTCTCAAGTTGAAAAAGAGTTGACAAAAAAAAAAATTGAAAAGGAATATTAGATGATATTTTAGCCAATTTAAAATTTAATCTAAATTATGTAGCGCTTTAAATATGGTATGGGGAAAATATATCGTAAATTAGTTTCTTTTGGGCCAAGTAATTTTAGTTTAATAATAAAAACGTATTAAAAGTAATTTAATAATTATATATATATAAAAACTTAGACTTTATGTTATAACAAGAATACATGGAAGGTTTGGGGAGTTATCACACACAGCTGTAACACATTTAATATGTTCCTAAAATAATCACATTCATAATACATCTCCCATTTCTATGTTTTCATCCCCCAACTGAAATAAAACTACCGATTAAATGCATGAAGAAGCGGGTAAGTAGCATATTTTCATGACACACTTTTCCCATTTGTGTGTGTGTCATGAAAATATCAGAAACTTGTTTTAATTAGTAGTATTTGTAACAATCCGAGTTTAAGAATTTGTAATTGAAAAACAAGTTTCCAGCAACAGCTAACGTAAAATTGAACATATATCTTCAAAAGTTCTTGATGAACATATATTTTCAGAATAACTCAATAAACTCTGACCTAGCGACTAGCAACCTCTTATTGACAGAATCACCAAAAAGAATCTCGTCTTGGACTGTGCGTCATCTCTTGTTCATTGGACATTTTCAGTTGTTTCAGTCTATCATTATTCACAACACCATTAATTTTTAATTTGTTGTCTTCCCTTTGCCGAACAAGTATTTATCAATTCTAAAGAGAGTAATTTTGCGCTTTCTTGTGGAGTGGAACACCTAATTCGGCTACAATAGCTAAAGTGGCGTGGAGTGGGCTTTGTGCCCCTAAAATAGCTGACCATTTAGGACTTATAAGGTTATTGGATTGGAACAAAGTGTGGATTGGAACAAAGTGTTTGGTCTGAAGCCAAACTGGTTGCTCTTTGTAGGCAGCGGTTCTTTATGGGTCTCTTGGTACTTGATTCGTCGAATTTTTTTTTGGAAAGCTAACTTTCAATGTGTGGGTAGTTGGATCTAGCAAAGAATTACTAAGTTAAGCCTTTTTGCTTTGTAATGTTTGTAATCTGCCAGATTCGATCGAGTACAACTACTTCCTTCAACAGGATATTAATAGGACATCATGGGGGCTTTGATAGACTTAACAAATGAAATGTTTTGTGAAGACTTGAACATATGTTTCTATTGGTACATTGATTCTAGTAATTTGATCGAGTTTGGTTAAGGGTTTTGGTTTTTTTTTTTAAGTTTCTAGCAAAAACAACCAATCTATTACAAATTCATGCTAATTATCTGTCTGAATATAACGGCATTAATTGTTTGTGTATATATAATATATCTCGGCCAATGCCCATATGTTGTTAAATATATATAGACGTTATGCTACAAGAAACTTAACATATCTAGTGGGTGATTGGTTGAGCTGTAGCTTTAGAATTTTTGCTGTAGAGTTTCTGCTATATCTGTGTTGGCTCTAGCTGTAGTTTTTTTATCTGTAGGTATTATAATAGTAAAGCTAAAGCATGATTGGTAAAGTTAATTCAATATTATAGATTGAAATTTGAAGTATATGAATTTAAAAAATTTGCAATATATTACATATGATATATAACAGATGAACATATAATAAATAGTAAGTTTCATATATAAATAATACATTATACAATTTTTGGTGAAAATATATATTATAATATATAATTTATAATAATGAAATGAAATATGTATATATATATAATTTATATAATTTTCTGTCACTTTAATAAAAATATTGTAAATAGATTATTTTTTCTTATTCTTAGAGTATCATGTACTAATATGCAGTAAAAAAAAATCATTAAATATAGGAGAAAAAAATGTCTACAGCTCTTAAAACACACAAAAATATGTTGTAGAAATTTTAAGAGTTACAACAAAAAAAAACTAAAAAAAAAAGTTGTTTTGGGCTGTGAGATTTTTTAGAAAAGCTAAACCTTGATTGGTTCAATATTAAAGCTTTAATATTTTTTTGAGCTGTACCATAAAGATACATCCCAACCAATCACACCCCTAGTTGTATATCAACTATAAGACTTTAATAACGGAAATAATTATATTTATAAGCACTTTGTTGAAAGTTGAAACATAAAAACAAATTCTTAACCTAAACTGAGAAGATATCACGTATGAATCTTCTTGTGACGGTTTCTACAAATTAAGGAATTGTCACTGAACACTCTTAAATCTCTCATGGGCTTAAAAAACTTGACGCACGGCCCATCTTCTGGAATCATCACCTCACTCGATACCTTGCCTTCCGTTTCACTGCAAAACCAATTGTCAAGTGTAACTCTAAACCTTTGCCATAGCAAAAATCAATTTCACAATTTTGGATTTTTATTACTAACGTTAAAATTTAATTGGAAAATATATCACCTTTTGTGATAAACAATTTTTCACAGCTTTAAATCAATAGTAGTATTCAATTTTTTTTTTTTTTTGAAGTATATAATTCATTATTAAAAAAGCATAGAAAACATAGACTTTGTATCTTTTAGCAACAAATTTTTTTCCTAAAATTTAGGTTAATATGAAACATAGAGATTTTTTTTTTTTTTTTTGCACATCTTCCAAATCTATTTATTATGGAATTTGAATAGTTTTATAATTTTAAGATAAGACTAAAGAATCTAAAAAGAGACAGTTAAATCCACAAAAATTTTTTTGACAAGTCTATAAGAAATGAAACGACTGATTAATCATATGAGGCATGTGATTGGTATAAATTTTAACAACCAGAATAAGCATGCCAATGTGACAAGATTAACTTCTACAAGAATTTTAGTTTTGTGCAACTTTGATGCTTTGGTAGTAGCCTTGTTCTTTTTATGCACATGAACTATTTTAGGAACATTTAGTTTAAATATATATGGAAATTTGTTTGATAGCTTGTCCGAATACATTAACCATCGTTGGTTTAGGAACATCAACTAAGTCAAAACTAATTTAACTTCTAAATAACGGGCGAAGACCAACACTTCGTTGTTCCCATCCATGTAGACCTTGCAACAGAAGTAATTTCCATAATCTAGACAAACCTTGCAAATTTTGCTTATGAAAAAAACAAAAATTAAATTAGGATACCAATGTTCGTCCTTAACTTTGGAGATATTTGTTTAAGGACACTATTTTGGAACTCAATTTTTTTTTTTTCAATGTATAAGTAGAAAAAATAGAGTAATCAATGAAAACACATAACCCATGTATTTAATACAAAGACAAATGACGGGAAATGAAGAAAAAAATCTAGGAAAAGCAGATTAAAAAACCTCTAGAATTCTATGTTGTAGCATAGGCA